AATTACTCTGTCTGCAGCAATGGATTACGTGGGTGTGAGCACATCTAATGTGGCGAACCCATGCAGCTTTGGCAATAACACAGTTCCACAACACCAGATCTGGACAGGGATTGGGAGGCATATACAAGCTTTCTCGGAAGGAGGTCTTGCCGCAGTGGGACACAGCCTTCCCTTCTTTACCCCTTATGCATCAGGAGTGCTTAGGCTGAGACTCGGGGTCCAATTGCAGCAGCTGAGCTAGACTGTCACAACAGGAACATTTCTCAGTTTGTTTCTCTCACTTCAGTTTTATTGCTGCAGTGCAAAATGGGATTGTCAAGCAGACAAACTGACCAACACTTTCATGAAAACCTGTCATAAATGTTGTATGCACCTGGCAAACTCAACTATTTGTATTACAGTCTAATCTAGTCCACCTCAATTAAAAGTAAATAGGTATGCACTGCTGTGCTACTACAGGTATTTCGAACAATGTAACTTGAAATTATACTAAAAAGTTGTGCAGACCCTTCAGCAATTGGGGCATTTGAAAGTAAATTACTGTTAAATTTAAATTAAATTAAATTAAATAAAACATGTAGTCTTACATCTAGATGAATGAAATTCTGGATGCACTTGGTCGAAAACCGAAACTGCTTTGTAATGATTGTTTATTATTTAATTAAATAATATAAAGTAATTTTGTAAGACTTTTTAAATTTAACTCAATTTGCCTATTTTTATGTAAAAGCAACAGAATGTAAATGACATTCAATTTATTAGTAAGAGCGCATGAGCGTGAATCACGTCACATCTGTCTGTGATCTTGTGTCTAATGCACTGATTTGAGATGGTGCTGTGACTGTGTACATGTCAGTCATATTACTTTTGATTGTTTGATTACATAGCATGGTACGAATCATGTCATGATATTTCCTTTTTGCTATGCAATTCATTTGTTATGTTGTTGATTTGAAATATGTGTAATGTATGTTAGTACATTCATGTTGATTTATTCATCTTTTTGTGCAGTTAAGTTTAGAAACCAATCTGATGCATCTATGTGGGGGGCGGGGGTGGGGTGTTGAAATGGCAGTCCAGGGGCACTTAATTCAGACCACAAGGGCAATTTAGTGTCTGCGATTAAAGGGGCAGGGGCTCAAGAGTTTTTTATTTTTTAAATTAAGAGTGATTAACCTCATCCTACTGTTTGCAGGACTCGACTCGATATACCTGGTATGGCTTCCCAAGCCTGCCCTCAGCAGTGAGGGGCCTGACACTCGCGCTACAGTGAAGAGAAAAATTACTCTGTCTGCAGCAATGGATTACGTGGGTGTGAGCACATCTAATGTGGCGAACCCATGCAGCTTTGGCAATAACACAGTTCCACAACACCAGATCTGGACAGGGATTGGGAGGCATATACAAGCTTTCTCGGAAGGAGGTCTTGCCGCAGTGGGACACAGCCTTCCCTTCTTTACCCCTTATGCATCAGGAGTGCTTAGGCTGAGACTCGGGGTCCAATTGCAGCAGCTGAGCTAGACTGTCACAACAGGAACATTTCTCAGTTTGTTTCTCTCACTTCAGTTTTATTGCTGCAGTGCAAAATGGGATTGTCAAGCAGACAAACTGACCAACACTTTCATGAAAACCTGTCATAAATGTTGTATGCACCTGGCAAACTCAACTATTTGTATTACAGTCTAATCTAGTCCACCTCAATTAAAAGTAAATAGGTATGCACTGCTGTGCTACTACAGGTATTTCGAACAATGTAACTTGAAATTATACTAAAAAGTTGTGCAGACCCTTCAGCAATTGGGGCATTTGAAAGTAAATTACTGTTAAATTTAAATTAAATTAAATTAAATAAAACATGTAGTCTTACATCTAGATGAATGAAATTCTGGATGCACTTGGTCGAAAACCGAAACTGCTTTGTAATGATTGTTTATTATTTAATTAAATAATATAAAGTAATTTTGTAAGACTTTTTAAATTTAACTCAATTTTAATGATACTAAATAAAAAAAAAAAAAAGCTTGCACATGGATTCTCACATCTTGTCAGCCCCATAACAATGCCGTACCTCGAAGCCTTCTTATTCGTTTTGCTAATAAACGTTCTATGTTTCTTATTTATTTGGTTATATACAGTATTATACATGTTTACTTATTTCCAGTTTTGTATACCTATTTAAACGTTATGTAAGCTATTTGTTATTTTATATTAGGCATAGCCTGCCCTATAGCATGGTGTATATTTATTCGTTTTGTTAATAAAAGTTCTATGTTTTATATATAGGCTAAAGTGAGTTTGATGTTGTATTTTGTTGTTACATTCAAGCAATTGATGCCGAATTGCCACTAATTCGAAAGTGAAAGTAAAATGCGCACAGCACTTAAGCTATTTAAAAGGGGGAAAATTCAAACGAACAATTGCTTTAGCCGAATTGCCGCTATTTGAAAGTGAAAGGAAAATGCGCACGCTGCTTTTACAAGCAATTTAAAAGCAAAGGAAAGCAGGAAAAGAGGGAATGCCCCTGCCCCCATGGTGAAACCAGTATTAATGGGTTTTGTCACACGTAGATTAACCGGTGGGAAAATTTCCTCACCGTCACAACCCTAATTAAGAAATTACTACAAGGTCTCCCATACTTTTTCTTGCCACTAAATGTCTATTCAACTTTTGGATGAAGTATTACTTTATGTTCCAAACTAGGGCAGAAAGCCGGTTCTGTAATCAGCGGTAAATCTCCATCACGTGCGTGCTTTCACATTGAGCAGCATTAACTACACAGAGCCATTGTTCACTGACGAGCTGCGCAAAACCACGTTCATATTCGCGTGATTTTTTTGCGCAGCTCGTCATTGATTCTGATTACAGAACCGGCTTTCTGACAATATGCACATTAAATATCACATGCGATTTATCGTGCAGCCCTAATCCAAACACTCACCATGTATTCCTTCACCAGGGATCTCTCATCCTCACCAAGGTAGATACAAAGAGCTCTGAGGATGGCCTCTCTCTTCATATGGACATCACTTGTCTGTAAATATTACAGATTTGATTATTAGTTCATATATAGTTCATAATCTATAAACAGCTGGCAGGAAAAAAATGGAAGAACTCACTACAAATGAACTACCTTAATTATATATATTAGAATATATAATTTCGGTCAAGTCACTGTTTGGATTTAAATACTTTGAATACATAAGTCTCTGTGACATTAAACTGACAAATACATAAAAGAAAAACACAATGACGCAAACGGTGACTTTTTTAACCGGGTATGCTGACATATGACCCCCCCAATCAGCTTTTAAAACACTCAAAGAGGGATCACAGATAACAAAATACACCATGGCAGGTGTTGATTTAAAAGTTTGCACATTTCCTACCTTATTTGTTAATGAAATTCATCTCCAATCCTCCTATCTTTTCAGGTTTATCCATTGTTATTGGAATGCTAGAAAAATACAGCTGGTTTTCCAAGCAAAAACCGCCAAAAACGCTGAAATGATACATAATATTCAGAGGGTGGGGAGATGGGGGGATTCCCCCAGTCTATATGACTCTGCATCAGCTCAATGATTTGTTATTCCCAGTGAATGAGTTAAAACTCCCACCCAGGTGACACTAGTCCAATAACAGACCATGCAAAATACCTAAAATAATTATATGTTTAAAATATTGCCAAGTACGTTGCAACGTTGCAAACAACACTAAAATCAGAGTAAGTGTAAGTGACACGAGCATACAGAAAACAAAGGGAACAATAACCTTCAGAATAATGTAATAATAATCTTCAAAATGTTCAGAGGATTTACATTTCCTTGTTTTTCCTGATGCTTGTTATTTTTTCAGACACATTTTACATGCTGCACCATTAAAGCTAGCAAAAAGGGGGATGTTTTAGTAGTAAAGATATTTACACTGAAACATTAAACTGACAAAAACATAAAAGAAAAACACAATGACGCAAATTAACAGACGTTGCTATGCCATAACATTTCCTACCTTATTTGTTAATGAAATTCATCTCCAATCCTCCTATCTTTTCAGGTTTATCCATTGTTATTGGAATGCTAGAAAAATACAGCTGGTTTTCCAAGCAAAAACCGCCAAAAACGCTGAAATGATACATAATATTCAGAGGGTGGGGAGATGGGGGGATTCCCCCAGTCTATATGACTCTGCATCAGCTCAATGATTTGTTATTCCCAGTGAATGAGTTAAAACTCCCACCCAGGTGACACTAGTCCAATAACAGACCATGCAAAATACCTAAAATAATAATATGTTTAAAATATTGCCAAGTACGTTGCAACGTTGCAAACAACACTAAAATCAGAGTAAGTGTAAGCGACACGAGCATACAGAAAACAAAGGGAACAATAACCTTCAGAATAATGTAAGAATAATCTTCAAAATGTTCAGAGGATTTACATTTCCTTGTTTTTCCTGATGTTTGTTATTTTTTCAGACACATTTTACATGCTGCACCATTAAAGCTAGCAAAAGGGGGGATGTTTTAGTAGTAAAGATATTTACACTGAAACATTAAACTGACAAAAACATAAAAGAAAAATACAATGACGCAAATTAACAGACGTTGCTATGCCATATATGCGCATTCAGATCTTACAGAGGAACTTGCTTACATTAAAGTCAACTGAATATTTACTGTAATATGTGGTGATGCATAATATAAAAATACTTACTGTGCATATCACTGGAAACACTTCAGGAAAATGACTTCAATTCACACCAAGCAAACCTGGAAACTTCCTTTGGCAACAGGGAAAGCATATGTGTCCGAGTCACATGCATGTGCAGAGGGAACCTCAAATGAAAGCAAGCATACAATAATTATTATTGTTAGTTTAAAACACATTCATTCCATTGCATTTCTGTCTTCTTTTTTTTTTACCAATGGAGGCACAAGAGCTCAACTCTCCCCCGGCCTCCCCCTCCCATTCTCTATCAGAGACATGAACTGAAATGAAATGAATTGTAAATTTTATTAACATTAAATCTTCCTCCTCTCATTTTCTCCTCAAAATTTTGGAGAAGCTGTGCCTCCCCCGACTAGCCGCCGCTGCTAGCACTGACAAGTTACCTTACCCACCGCCCAAACAAACTGCTCTAGAACAAATCATTAAGAAGATTAAAGATTACCCATCCAAAACTATTTATATCTCATCTTTAATCACACTAGAAACCGCCAGATTCCCGAAGGACTGGCTGTGGTAAAACGTTAGGCGGGAACAGCCGTTGCGGCCTGGAGCTCGCATCTCCGAAAGCACTTAAGCAATTTTTTTAAATATGTTAGGTACTATCTTTACAAATAAACTGCTTATTTTAAGCTTATAAAACTACATTTTCATCCAAAACTATTTTTAAAATACACATAAAAAAGTAATATTTGCGTTATTAGTGTGCGCGCGCTCGGAGTAGGATGTGACCGTTGGTCGCTGGGGAATTTATCCCAAAGACTCGTTCTAGAGCATATTATATTATTTATAGAGCGAACAAACTATTCACTGTAATAAATGGTGCTGTATTACATAAAATATTACTTACTGTGCAAATAGACTGAATGATGAAAACTCCTGGGCTGGAATGAAAATGTCTTCAGTTCCCACCGTGAACTTGATTGAAAAATGTGCATTTTCGCGCATGCGCACAGAACCAACTTAATATTTTCTAACTGAATTTAATTAATTCACATGACTTGGATTTAAAACACATGTAATTCGCATAATATCAATTAATATTTATTAATTAAAATCAAAAACTAAATTTAAATTGTTTAAACTAGCTAAATTGAATTATGCTTAATTTAATTGGGGCCAATATAATTTTTTATTTTTAAGCCAAGTTATTTTTATTATAGAAACAGGGTATTAGCCCTTTTTTAATTTTCTAATTGTATTTTTTTTTAATTATGCAAAAAATATACAAAGATTTGTACAAACATATACAACTCGCAGCAAGTACAAAAACAAATAAATAATCATAATATTAGGGATGCACCGAATATTCGGCCACCGAAAATTTTCGGCCGAAAATGGCCCAAAAGGGCATTTTCGGTTTTCGGCCGAAAGACTTTTATCACCGAAACAATACGGCCGAAATGTTGTGATGACGCAAACTAGGGATGGGCGATACCACTTATTTTGTTTTCGATACGATACCGATATTTTTCAAGGCAGTATCGTCGATATCGATACCGATACGATACTTCTGAACTAAACTTTTAAATGATGAAATTTATTAAATTACTAAGAGTAAAATGGGTAATGATAACCACTTAACTTTGTTTAAAACACATTTTAACATTCAATACGCCTTAATTGTAATTTATTAGGTTATATTTTTGTTTGCACATGGTTCAAATGTGTTTTTGTTTACACATGATTCAAATCTACAAATACTACTGTTGAACTACGGTCACTTTAGTAAAACCATGGTTCATTATCATTAGGGACTGCCAGTGACCGGCTGTTGCATCCATAAAATGCAACCTTTTTATTCTGACAGTGTATGATTTCTATTAACATTACTGAATAGAACATGACCTATATTATCTTTCAACGTTCAATTTAAATAAATGTAATTGTACAAACTATGTAGCTAATTTTATTATTAATAAAAAACGTATTTGTTAGTGACCATACTTTTTTCCAGCTAACATTTTCATATTTAGTATATTTCACATTTTAATTGCCAAGCCAGCAGTGCCTGCTTATGAAAGTTTGCCAGTTTAACTGGGATTTTTTCAACAGAAAAATTACATTTTAAAAGAAAATTAATGCCACCCAAAGAATTAAATATGTAATTGGGGAAAACATTCCATATACTATCTTTATTTTTAATAAATTCAATTATCCATGTTATCTTAAACACATTATTAAGATCTGTAAAGTTTAAAACTTCAAGACCACCAAAGTCTCTATTATTATTTATAATATCTTTCCGTAAATAGTGTATTTTCTTCCTCCAAATAAAATCATAAATTATTTGATCTAATTCCCTGACAACATTGTTTGGAGCATCTGCTGACATAGATATATAAACAGACCTTGATATCCCTTCTGCTTTTGAGAGTAGAACACGTCCATATAGGGACAGATCTCTCATAAGCCACATATTGAATCTGTTTTTAATTTTCTCAATAATAGGGTCAAAATTTAACAAGCTTCTTTGATTCAAATCTTTACACACCTTTATCCCAAGGTATGTGACATTGTCTTTAATTGGTATTCCACAAATTTCTTTCAGGAGACAATAATTAAGAGAGAATAATGTGGACTTATTCTTATTCATCTTCAATCCAGAGATTCCAGAAAATTCTTCAATACATTTAATAACTACATCCATTTCTTCACTATTTTTGACAAAAGTTGTGGTATCATCCGCTAATTGGCTAAGTTTAATCTCTTTACCAAACACTGAAATTCCTTGAAAACTTGCTTTTTTGATATGAGCAGCCAAGACTTGAGTAACCAATATGAAGAGAAAGGGTGATATAGGACATCCTTGTCTTATCCCACAGCCCATATCAAATCTCTGACAGGTACCGTGAGACAACTGGACTGAACTATTAGAACCATTATTGGGGTTCCAAGTGTACCGTACCGTTGCCAAAACGTGACGTGTAAACTCTGCTGATCACGGATTGGCCGGAGAGAATCGTCACTACCTGCGTCACTGAACTTGCGACACAAACACAACAGAACCGCTAGATTTAAATCAGCACAGCCAGCGAAGGATCGAACGTTTTGAACGAGCACACCTTTTTTTACCAACCAAAAAGTGGCTGTTTCATTGTCTGTTGAGGAAGTACAAATGTTCCTCTCGTTGATAGCAGAGGAGGGGATCCAGTATGGAATGATATTAGACTCAAAATGATTTACAGATGCACGCACAGTTATCCATGTACTGCATACATTTTATACATGTATCTTACTAACCACAAACAAATGCCTTTCAATTTGAGTCTGGAATTCAGGATTAAATGATTGTGCAGGGATTTGTACAAATACAGGCATGTTTGTGAATAAAAATGTTCTGTTCTGCATTAATATATCATAAATTGCTCATGCAAAAAGGAATCCGTGCATATGTGGATCAGGTGACACGCGTGCTTTAAGTGACGTCTAGTTCAAGTCGATCTTGTTCGGTTCATTTGGATTTTGAGACTTCATTTTCGCAGTTTACAGCATTTCACGTCCCCCACACACACTAGATGGCACTAGCCCCAGTCACATGTGCGCATTCCATTGTGTACGGTTTTATGAACGTTACATTGTGTTTTCTTTGTTTCTTTTTAGTTTGGCTATTCTCCTCTACCATAGAAATATAATAAAGATGTTTTATTGAACTTGTTCTAACTTAACTTGTCTTAAGACACAGAATAGCTTATATTAATTTTGCCAAACAAGAACTTGAAGGGGGGACGCGGAATGAAACAGTTTTTCAGGAGTCGCGGCGCAACTATAACGACATGTGAATAATCCCGAACAACCTGCTAGCGACATGCTAGTCACTTGCTAATAATGCTAACCACCTGCTAACGACAAGCTAGTCACTTGTTAAACATGTTAGCAACATGTTAGAAACATGCTAACGACATGCTAGTAATTTTGCTAATCATGATAACGACATGCTAGTCATTTACTAGCCTTTTTAGCAACATGCAAGTCACTTGCTAGTCATGCTAGCAACATGCTACTCACTTGCTAATCATGCTTGCAACATGCTAGTCACTTGCTAGTCATGCTAGCAACATGGTAGTTGTGAGGTAGACTGGTGTGGGTGCTGGTGGAATTGAGCAGACACAAGTCGTCCGGTCAGAGACGAAGTACACTTTAATGGTTTAAGACTTGTAGAGGTTTACAGTCCTTGGATTTGGTTGAGTGAATGATTGTAGTACAGGTAGCAGAGAATATGACAGCGTAGTACAGAGTAGTTTGGAGTGTAGCTTAGTATGAGTGGTTCTAAACACACAGAAATAACAATAACCAATTAGTAATGAAATATAAACTCACTCTGTTACTTATACATAATATATATACTTAAACATAATAGCAATATAGCATAGTAGCAAATTAGTGGTATAACGATCGATTCAGACATGTACAGACTAGATTAGCACTTGTGAAACTGGCATCATGTTCTCTGACACGTGAGCTCAGAAGAACCGATAAATATGGCTTAA